ACACCACTGAGCACCACACAGGAGACGGCCACCACCACACTGAGCACGGCCACCACCACACCACTGAGCACCACACAGAAGACAGCAACCACTACAGTGAGCACGACCACCACCACACCATTGAACACCACACAGGAGACAGCCACCACCACACTGAGCTCGCCCACCACCACAGCACTGAGCACCACACAGAAGACAGCAACCACTACAGTGAGAACGGCCACCAGCACACCACTGAGCACCACACAGGAGACGGCCACCACCACACTGAGGACAGCCACCACACCACTGAGCACCACACAGGAGACAGCCACCACCCCACTGAGCACGGCCACCACCACACCACTGAGCACCACACAGAAGACAGCCACCACCACATTAAGCACGGCCACCAGCACGCCATTGAACACCACACAGGAGACGGCTACCACCACACTGAGAACGGCCACCACCACACCACTGAGCACCACAGAGGAGACGGCCACCACCACACTGAGCACGGCCACCACTCCCCTGACTGCCAGCATTGTCCCCACACAACCTCTGGTCACCAGCCTGGTGCAAACGACCACCACACACCGGCCATCCACCCCCTACACCGAGGTCAGCACACGCAGGATGCAGACATCTCTAGGCACCACAACCGAGGCCACTACCAGGCAGGGCACGACCGGCTGCCAGCCCAAGTGCCAGTGGACAGAGTGGTTTGATGTGGACTTCCCCACGTCGGGGGTCCCAGGTGGGGATGTGGAGACCTACGACAACATCAGGGCCGCAGGGGGCAAGATGTGCCTAGCACCTGAGAAGATTGAGTGTCGGGCGGAGAACTACCCAGAGGTAAGCATCGACCAGATTGGGCAGGTGGTGGTCTGCAGCCTGCAGACTGGGCTGGTGTGCCGCAATGAGGACCAGACAGGCATGTTCACTATGTGCTTCAACTACAACGTGCGTGTGCTCTGCTGCGACCGTAGCCACTGCCCCACCATGCCGTCTCCCACCTTCACACTGTGGCCTAGTCTCTACACCCAGACCCTGACCACCTTGGCCACCAGCAGGTGGACGGGGACAGGCTTCTCCACAGAGACCAGCACCTGGAGAAGTGCCAGCCTCCCCATCACCTCCGAGAGTCCCTCTGTGCCTCCCGCCTCCACCAGCAGCCTTCCACACACCTCCGCGCCATGGACGCCGTGGCCCCTGAGCAGCAGCGCTTCCTCAGCGGTGCCTGTGACTTCCCACCCTCTCAGTACTCTAGGCACCACCCCAGTGCTGACCACCACGGCAGGCCCTCCGCCAGCCACCGGCTCCTTCAGGCCCCCTGCCTCCACCCCAGGCACCGTCCCTACCTCCGGGGTCCCCACCAGCAGCCTGCTGACCTCCAGTGTGTCTGCTGGTCCTTCCTCGAGCCTCACCACACTCGGGCCCACTGCGTCCTCCACGCAGCTCTGCTTCTGCTGGGCGTTTGGACAGCTGTTTTCACCCGGTGAGCAGATGAGCCTCACGGCCCCACCACGTCCCTGTCCCCTGCTGGCCTCGCCTGCCGGCCCTGCCCCTGGCCCGCCTGTCCCCTGGGCTGTGGCCGGCCTCCGACGGCTTCTCCTTCACAGGGGACGTCATCTATAATAAGACTGACAGAGCTGGATGCCACTTCTCCGCCATCTGCAACCAACACTGTGACATCGACCGCTTCCAGGGCACCTGCCCCACGTCCCAGCCTCCGATGCCCTCCACCTCTGTGGCGTCCCCCTCCCCACTCCCTGGCTGTGACAACGCTGTCCCTCCCCGACAGGTGGGCCCGGCTGTCCCTCCACCGCCCTCTGCCAGGGGTCTGGCCAGACTGCCAATGCCCTGCTGCCCTGGCTGGGCGACCCTCCCCTGTGACTGAAGGCAGGTCAGGCACACAGGGTCAGGGGCATGGCCTGTGGCCCCGGTGTGGACACTTCGGGCTGCAGGCTGGGTGGGCTGAGTGCCAGGCTGGGCCCCACCAGCACCCAGGTGAGTACGCACCTGTTCCCCACTCAGGTGAATGAATCCTGGACGCTGGACAACTGCACAGTGGCCAGGTGCGAGGGTGACAACCACGTGGTCCTGCTGCCACCAGAGCCCGTGGCCAACGTGAGCTGTGTGAACAAGCACCTGCCCATCAGAGTGTGGCACGAGCACCAGCCCTGCCATTCCCACTACGAGTGCGAGTGTGAGCACAGGGCTCATTGTGCTGCCAGGGGGCGAGGCTGGGGTGCGGGGAGTGGGCTGGGTTCCTCCACCTCGGCCTCTTGACCGGCTAGGCCCAGGGCTCAGCGTCAGGAACCCAGGCTGGCAGGCCACGCCTCTCCACCCTGCCTGTCTCCTGTGGCCTCCTCCCTGTTTCCGACCCTCATCTCTCAGGCCTGTCTCTCACTGGGCAAGGGTCGCCTGGCCATTTGGGACCGTCCCTCCCCTTCATCTGCAAAGACGCCTTCCTTTCCCAGGGTCACGTACCCAGGTCCAAGGTAGACGCAGATTTGGGGGCAGCAGTTAGGCCATGACACCCATTTCACAGAGGAGGCGACTGAAGCGTGGGGGTCTGTGTGGTTCCCCTGAGGTGGCCGTGGCGGCGTGGGGTGCTGGGGGGCCGGGGAGCGGCCTCCAGCCTGTGTTGTCCCCAGGCTCCTGCAGCGGGTGGGGGCATTCGCACTACTCCACGTTCGACGGCACGACCTACTCCTTCCCGGGCAACTGCACCTACATCCTCGTGAAGGAGATCCACCCGCGCCACGGGAACCTGAGCATCCTCTTGCACAGCCACTACTGCGCCACTGGCCCTGGCGCCAGCTGCCCCCGCGCCCTCCAAGTGCTGTACCTGTCCATGGACATCATCCTCACCACTGCCGATGTGGGGGGTGTGGAGCAGAGCCTGGTGAGCTCGCATGGGCCGGGGGTGGGTGCAGCCAGAGGCCTGAGCAACGAAGGCCCCGAGGGAAACTCCGAGCAGGGTGCCCTGAGGCACAGCCCCACAGCAGCCCCGCTGCCCCTGTCTGGCCCTGGTCATGGGTGCCCTGGTCCCAGGTCCTGTTCAATGGAGTGCGAGTGAGCGGGCCCCTCAGCAAGGATGGGGTGAGCTTGTCCGTGACCGCGGCCACCAACATGCACATCGACATCCCGGCCATCGGCGTGAGCATCTCCTTTAGCGGGAGGGTCTTCCAGGTCCGGCTGTCCTACAGCCACTTCAGCCACAACACAGAGGGCCAGTGCGGTGAGTGCCCCTGCCCTCCGGCACCCCCAGCAGGGCCTGTGCACTGCGCAGGGTGCAGGGACCGGAGGCCCCTCAGACTCCACAGCGACCCTCCCGCTCCCAGGCACCTGCACCAACAGCCAGAGTGATGACTGCCGGCGGCCAGACGGCACCATGGCCCCCACCTGCAAGGACATGGCTCCGACCTGGCTGGTGCCTGGCAGCAGTGGAGGGGGCTGCAGGCCACCAACCAGCCCACCCCCCAGCGCCAGCCCCCTGCCCCCGGTGCCCAGCATTTCCACGGCCACCACCTCCACCCCGTGCGCCCCGGGGCCCCTCTGCAAGCTGCTACTGAGCTCGTGAGTCCTCCACCCCGGGGTCGGGGTGGGCTGGGGCCCCCCTGCCAGCCAGGCTGCTGCTGGGCGCTGTAGTCCCGCCCTGACTCCCCTCAGGGTCTTCGCCGAGTGCCACGCTTTGGTCCCGCCAGACTCCTTCTTCAGCAGCTGCATCAGCGACCACTGCCAGGCGGGTGACCGGGAGGTGCCTTGCCAGAGCCTGGCAGCCTATGCGGCGCTCTGCCGAGCCCGGGGAGTGTGCATAGACTGGCGCAACGCCACCAGCGGGCTGTGTGGTGAGCAGGGCAGTCCTGGGGCGCAGCCTCCTGGGCCCGCTGGGTGCCTCCCTGACACCCATCTCTGCACACAGAGCTTTCCTGCCCAGCCTCCAAGGTGTACAAGCCCTGCGGCCCCATGCATTCAGTCTCCTGTGACTCCAGGTAAGCGGGACTGGAGCACCTCTCAGGAGGAGCTAGGCCCACAGGGGATGGGGCTGCATGTGCCCCCAGTCCTGGGGCTGCCGGCCCCCGGGCCAGTCATGGCCGAGCCCTCGGAGGACACCCATTGGCCCCCAGCCCTGGCCCCTGGCCCCTGGCCATCCTCAAGTGGCCCGTTCTGGTTCTGAGGCCCACTCTCCCGGCTGTGCAGGAACCAGAGCCCCCTGGATAATGGGCTGGCCCTGGCCGAGGGCTGCTTCTGCCCTGGGGACCAGCTCCTCTTCAGCTCACACATGGACATCTGCGTGCCAGAATGCCGTAAGCACTGGAAGCACAGTTGGGGCCCTGTTCTGGGCAGGGCAGGGTGGGGACAGTGAGGCCTGGAGCCCTGCTGAGTCCCAAGGGCCTCTTGAGGTGCATGGGGAGATGCGTCCTCCTGTGACTCCGTCGCTGACCCTGCCCCTAGCCCCTGCTCCATTTTGCCACCGCGAGGGCCCCAGAGAGCTGAATCCTCCATGTCCAATCCCAGCCCGGCCTCACCAGCTCATACCCCACAGGCTCTCCGGGGTTGGGGGTTCTGTCCCTGTGACCCCACCCCCAGCCTGGTGCCCGGCACCCTGTGACTGTTCCTCTCCTTCCCTTCCAGCTTGTGTGGGGCCAGATGGACTCCCCAAGTTTGTGAGTGGCACTGCCCACCCTGCTTGGGCTGAGGGGGAAGTGGAGAGGGTGCACCCCAAGGGATGGGGTGTCCTTCCTGCCCTCCTCATGCTGGGGTCCTCGGCTCTGCCTTGGTCTGTTCCAGCCCGGCCAGCGGTGGGTCAGTGACTGCCAGGCCTGTGTGTGCGACATGGCCTCGGTGTCCGTGCAGTGCTCGCCCGTGCAGTGCAAGGCCCAGGGCCCTGCCCCACCATGCGAGCAGCACGGCTTTGTGTTAGTGACCAGGCCGCAGGCTCACAGCCCCTGCTGCCCCGAGACGCTGTGTGGTGAGCACCTGACGGCGGGGGGGCGGGGCAGCCCTGCCCTGCAGGAGCACGGGGTGGTCATGGAGCTTCTGGCTTCCACCTGCAAGTGAGGTTGTGACCTCTGGGACAGCCGGGGACTTTGGAGGTGGGGTGACAGATGCAGTGCACCAGCCCCCAAGGGGCATCGCCGGGGTCCCAGGTGGGCCGCAGCGCCCTGACAGGCCCCACATCTCTGCAGTCTGCAACGTGAGCACCTGCCTCCAGGCCCCACCCACATGTCCCCCGGGCCAGGAGCTGATCCCGGAGGAAGGCCACTGCTGCCCCACCTTCCGATGCCGTGAGCCCGGCGGGGCGGCGCGGGGCGGGGCGGCGCGGGGCGGCGCGGGGCGGGGCGGGGCGGGGCGGGGCGGGGCGGGGCGGGGAGGGGCGGGGCGGGGCGGGGCGGGGCGGGGCGGGGCGGAGTCAGGCTGGGAGGGCTCTGCCAGCCACACTCGGCCCCTTTCTTCCAGAGCCCAGACTCTGCGAGTACAACGGCACCATCTATGGGGTAAGGGCTCCACCAGGCAGGGCGGCTGGGCAGGCAGTGGGTGGGCGGCCCGGTCCAGGTCCCTGCTCAGGTCTGCGGGCTCTGGGCCGGGATACAGGCAGCGCCTTCTTCTGAGAGCCCTGCAGAGCTGGCACCGTGCCTGGGAGCAGCCAGCCCTGGGGACTCTCGGCAGAAGTGTCCCCACCTGCCTGTGCTCACTGCCCTCATGCCACCCGGTGTCCCTGTAGGTTGGTGCAACCTTCCCAGCGCTCTCTCCCTGCCACACGTGCACCTGCCTCTCCGGGCCCAGCCAGGAGCCGGTCGTGCAGTGTGAAGAGCGCACCTGCAGCCCCTGCCCCCAGGTGCACACAGAGGCTTGGCCCCTACAGGGAGGGTGTGGAGCAGCCCCTGCCCTGCCAGGGAGCCTGAGTCAGGTTCCGGGAGGCAGCAGTGGACAGAGGAGGTGCTGGAGGTGGGGTGAGGCCGAGTGGAACTTTGGGGAGAGGAAGTGATGCTGGGCCCTGGGGTACAGACAGGACGACAGGCTGGGCTGAGGGAGACCTGACCACCTCCTGTGCCCACAGGGCTTCGTGCACTCCAGGGTGTCTGGGCAGTGCTGTGGGAACTGCGTGCAGGCTGCCTGCTTCACTCCAGAGGGCCAGATAGTGCAGGTGAGTGCTGCACTTGGGCAGGCCCTCCCCAGGAGACCCCAGGGCTGGCCCTGATCTGACGCCATGGGGGCTCCGCCCTCTGCCACGCATTTCAGCCCAACGAGACCTGGGTCGACAACCATGTGAACAACTGCACCAAGTACCTCTGCGAGGCCCAGAGCGGGGTGCCTGTGCTGACGCCACAGCCCGTGTCTTGCCAGGACGTGTCCCTCTGCAGGGTGTGTGCCGGGAGGCCCCCGCAAGGCCCCTCTGTTCCCTGCCACACCCACCGACCCCCAGCCCCTGCCCTGATCCCCACCCTGGGCTCCGGCTCTGCCTCTAGCTCCACCCCCTGTCCTTGGCCCTGCAGGGCATCCTCAGGAGAACTGGCTGCTGCTACACCTGTGAGACAGAAGAGGGTAAATTGAGGCTCTTTCCCACTCAGTCTGTCCAGTCCCAGCCTAGGGCTCCTGCTGGAAGCTGCCCATTTTTCTCCCCGGGCAGCAGTGGGATCCTGGCGCCCAGAGCCCACCTGAGCCCCAGGTTATGGGAAGGCAGTTTCTGCCTGGAGCGTGGGCTGCACCCAGCTGGGCCTCAGCAAGGGTCCATGGGCTCAGCAGCTGCCTGTCATCTTCCCAGATGCATGTCAGGTCCACGCCAACGTGACTGTCCTGCGGCACCAGGGCTGCGAGGCTGTGGTCACTGTCACCTTTTGCGAAGGCTCCTGCCCTGGAGTGTCCAAGTGAGTGGGGGCCTGACCTTCCCGGCCCCGGGAGGCCTGGCATGGGAAAGAGTGCTTCTGCACAGAGCCTGGCTGGCCCCCGCCAGCGGAGTGCCCACAGGGTCTCTAGGCACCTGGGCTCTGGACCTGTGTCCAGCGAACCAGCTGTGTCCACGGTGAGCGGGAGTGGCTAGAGGGGGCGTCCAGTGGCTGGAAGCCTAGGGGAGGTGTCCAGAGGTGGGGCTGGCTGGGGTCAGCAGAGCAGGAGCGGGCTCGGGAAGGGAGCCACAGAGGCGGAGCTGGGTCGAGGAGGCCTGAGCATGAGGGAGGGGAGCCAACCGGGCATGGTGGCAAGGGGGCTGCCTGACCGGCCACACCTCCCAGGTACTCCATGGAGGCCCAGACTGTGCAGCACCAGTGCAGCTGCTGCCAGGAGAGCAGCACCCACCAGCAGGCCGTGACCTTGCAGTGTCCGGACGGCACGGCCATCTGGCACACCTATACCCAGGTGGACGCATGCAGCTGCACCACAGCCTGCAGGCCCTGGCCCATGAGCCCCAGGGGCGCCTCCGTCTAGGGCCCTGCAGCCCTCAGAGCCAGAGCAGGCTCCACTGACCACCGGGACCTGGGGCCTCTTCTGGGGCCCACGAAGACACGTGAGGCTCCCTCGCCGCTGCCTCCCCATCCCCTGCAGCACCTGGGGGGGCACTGGACCAGCGAGGCTGTGCTGCAGGAGGGTGCTGGGTGGGGGTCCTGCCCTCAGAGACCCTCAGGCCTCACGCTTCCTGCTGGCACCAAGCAGCCCTGGAGCTGAGCAGCTGGGGGCACGGAGGCCTGTCTGCAAGACCCGGGCCGGAGCTGTGTCAGGCAAGGTGGCCGCTGGCCTGTGTCCGGCCCCACAGCCTGCCTGCGGGAGGGCACCTGGGCCTGAGGTCACCATGCTGCAGGGCGGGTGGGAGGGGCGGGCCAGCCCTGCGGCAATAAACGCTGACACTGTGCGTCCGCGCTGTGCCTTTTCCTACCACCTTGTTCCAGCAGCCGAGGTGGAGCAGGACCCTGCAGGGTCAGGGGCCACAGAGCCACTGGGAGGGACGTGGCAGAGTGGGGGGCCGTGCGGTCCTCTCCAGCCATGGGCACCCCTGGGGATCAGCCTCGGGGTGTGGGTGCACAGCCACAGTGGCTCAGGCAGGGGCCCAGCCCAGCCACCACTCAGACACAGGGCAGCATAGGAAAGTAGGGTGTGGACGAAGATGAGCTTCAGGGAAAGGGGCCCAGACACCAACGGGGCTCCCTGGGGGTGGGAGGGTGCAGCCCGTGCCTGTCCATGCTGCCCATCTCGAATCCTCCTCCTGCACACCTGGCCTTCCTGCCTCAGCCGCCGGCTGTGCCTTTGTCTCCTGTCCCTCCATGGAACGCAGCAGGGGCCTGGGGTGTGTGGGGCTTGGGCTGGGGCTGCTGTGTGAGGGAGGTGGACAGGAAATGTGTCCGGCAGACTCACGCGCAGTGAGGGAGGACAGGGAACCTGGCTCTGGGCTCGGCCTCCAAGAAAGGGTGAGAAGTGCCCTCTGGGGCACAGCCAGGGCCACAGCCTGAGGAGGCGCAGACTGCCTGGCCTCCACCAAGGAAGCCTCTGGTGGGGTGAGCAGCGGGCCCCTGCCCACTGTCCTGCCTGGGGACGCGTCGGGCGGCTCTGCGTTAGTCCTGCCCCTGCCCTGCCGATGGCTCTGGGGCCCGGCTGCTCAGTGCTGACTTGAGCCTGGCAGTGACTTGGTGCAGGAGGCAAGGCCAGTCGGGCAGTCGGTCGGGTGTGGCCTCACCTTCTGAACTGCAAGGCTGACTATCGGCCCCAGGCGGGACAAACCAGCAGTGCAGCTTAGACCCCGGGGGTCCCAGAGGGAATGTGCACCTCTCTGCCCCATAGACAGAAACCAAGATAGCCCCAGAAAGACATTTTAAGATGGCCGGTGAGTTGCTAAGACGGACGCCTGACATGGCGGCATTTGGGAAGCGCCACGCCGAGAGGCTTCTGTAAAGCCCTTCCTTACCGAAAGTGCACATTCAAGCCAGTGCGGTGGCTCACTACTGGGGAAGCTGAGGCAGGAGCGTTCAAAGTTCAAGACCTGCTAGAAACCTCTGCAGCAGGCTCTAGTCTCCTGCTCAGTGTGTGATGAAAGGCTGAAGAAAAGCTCAAAGACAAAATTAGCTGTTAGCAGGGAGGTCATCTAACCTGCGAGCTACCGCAGTGCCCATGAGGTGCTTCCGAGAGTCCTGTAGCTTCAGTCAGACTGCTTCCTAAAGAAAGCCAGTGGAGGGACTTAACTCTTTACAGCCTGCACCGCTTACAGCACATTCTGGGCATCGTCAATACTGCAGTCCCCAGCAAAGACCAGCCTGGGCAACCTGGTGAGACCATCTCAAAATATAAAAATGAAAAGGGCTGCAGATGTGGCTCAGTGCTCAATACTGGATTCAATGGGGGGAGGGGGGAGAGAGAAAAGAAAGCCCACATCTACTCCCAAATGGCCAGCCCCTCAAGGTGGCCAGCACCCTGCCAAAGCTCAATAAACAAAATGGGATAAAAGGTCACAGGTGTAAGAAGAGGTGTGTTTGTGCATTTATTTTTTAGATTTGAGACATTGACGTCAGATCCAAAGTTTCAATATTCTCCTAATGGGCTCCAGAAGGAAAGAAAAGAGAGCAGGAGAGGCACTACTCAAAAACTAACAACGTCCCTTCCAAACTGAAAACGTGAACTTAGACTGACTGCACACAGGAGACACACTCAGACCCAGGCCTAGGGACTCAGTGCTGAGACTTCACGATGCCAGGGAGCGGGGGAAGCAGGAAGCTGCATCTCACCCACCGTGTGGGGCAGCAGTGTGTGGTTCCTGTCATGACGTGCACACTTGAGGCTGGGCACGCGTTCCGAAGTGGCAGGGGGGCTGGCTCCGAGCTGCACTATCGAGTAAGAGTGACAGGGAGAAAAGGCGAGGGCTGAGTTGCCCCCCTAGACCCGAGGCACCGGCTGGCCCGGAAGATTTTAACCAGGTGGGCAGAGTGGAAGCATGTGCCCTGGGCCCAGAGACAGACCACAGGCCAGACACGGCTCCTCACTTCACACCAGTGTGTCCTGCACCCCTTCGTGGCTGGTGCCGGGGGTCTCGTTAGGAAAGCCCTCCCTCCCCTGGGGTGAGGAATGCTGTCTTCCGGGTTAGGTCTGGCAAGCTCCACGATTTCACCTTCCACTCTCGAGTCCTGATCTGCCACGGTGGCACGGTGTAGATGTCGCCCTCCCCTGGCCTGGCTGCTGGCTAACATGGGGGGTCTCAGTGTTTTAGGGGAGCAAGTCCCCCAGACTCCCCGAAAGCACTCAGAACCAGCTCTCCAGGCAACCTCAGAAGACACGCCAGGGCGGCGGGAGGGTGACGGGCAGTGGGACTGGGGGCTAATGTGAGGGAAATCAAGCCTCTTACGTATTCATACTTTAGTCCACCTCTGCAGTGCATACCTGTCACCCTGACATCCCGAGCTCTGTCCACATTGCTGGCCGAGTTGGCAAGCACATGCTGCCAGCGTTCTAAGTTGTCCTCGGTAGCAGGGTCTCAGGAAACCCACCGGGCTCCAGGGTGGTCCTGGAAAGGCACATTCTCTTCAGGCTTCAAAAAGAGCCACGGGCCACCCCTGTCCAGCTGTCCTTTCTTGACTGGCCTAGGCAGGCCCTGAATGCGGGACACGGTTGGTCCCCACCGCCCGGGACTGCAGCCCTGGCCTTGAGAGCCTGGCCCCTCAGCTCGGCCCAGCCCAGCTCCCGCAGTGGTGTCGGCCTGCTGAGCCTGGGCCTCAGAGGAACCGTCTCTGCCCATGCTGGCTGCAGGGGAGGGTCCGCCCCGGGACAACTGCCGAGTGGCAGGCAGGGCTGGGGACATGAGGCAGATCGTGCATCTGTGCAGGGCACAGTGGTAGCTGCCTACAGTGCTCCTATGCTCAAGACTTGTCCCGACTCTATCCCATGCTGTCCTGAAAGGGCTCGGACTGAGGGACCTCGCAGGCCTTGCACAGCAGCCTCCCTTGGGTGGTCAGTCCGGGCCCTGCCCTCCTGCCCTCCTTCTTGCTGACCTGCTCCCTCCAGTGCTCTCCCAAGCCTGGCTGATGCCGGGGCGGGGGATGGGCACAGAGTGGGACTGGGCCTCAGTGCATGGATGGAACGCCCATCCCTCCAGGGTGCAAGCTGCCCAGGGTGGCCACGCACCCAACTTCTTAGAGTCCCTTGCGGCAGCCAGCGTGGACACGTCCATCACTGCCCTGCACAGGCACCAGGCCCGGCTCAGCCAGGCTGCGGAGCTGGCTCCACCTGCTGGTCACCCGAACCCCGCAGCACAGGCACACACCAGCATCACAGGCCGCTGCACGGACGCTGTCCCACACGGGGAGCCGTCTCTGCTAGGACTCTTCACTTGCCCACTTTCTGCTAAGTGAGCTCTGTGGTTTGGGCTTCGGCCTCTGTCCTCTTAATGGCAGTGTCACAGGGAAGGGGACACTCCTTCAGCGTCGGAGGTGCCGAGCTTGTGCGGATGTGTCAAGGACTCAGTTCTCTGTAGGACCCGCCCTGCCCTCCTGCAGGAGCAAGCACAGCCTGCTGGCCTTGCGAGGGCTCCACACAGCTTGGGCCGGCAGAACCAAGTGGTGGGGATGGCACTGGCAGGCTCTGCCTGGGCCGAGATGTTAGGAGGCATGGGATGCTGCCAAATGGTGGGGGCAGCTGTGTCCCCACACCCTTCCCTACTGTCCCCAGACCCAGGTCCTGAGGCTTTCCAACAGACCTTGGCTGCGGGGTCCTGCTTCCAGCCTGCTCTGCAGAATCTGCCCTTTGAGATTTATTTTTAAAAGCAAAGTGGGAGCCACTTCGGTCCTCCACCTGGGCTAATGATGACAAAGGTGGCTCTGCGTGCAGCAGCGAGGCTGCCCCAAAGGAAGGCTGGGTGCCCCCCAGGAAGGCGTTTGCCACCCCACCTCATGCACCCCAGGCTGTTCTGGGACTTGTGCAGGCCCCAAGCAGGACAGGGTGAGCATCACCCCTCACAGGCAAACGCAGGTGCCACGGATACACATAGCCCTCTGTGAGCATAGACAGCAGCTGGGAGGACATGTTGGCCGGTGCTCCCCAGGGAGCGGTGGGAAGGGGATGCCGAGGGGAGAAGCTGTGCAAAGGCCCCTGCTGCCCCAAGTGAGATGGGGCCATGGTGCTTGGGCCCTGAGGGACATGAGGTTGCCTGAGAGGGGAGGTCCAGGGGCCGTGGAGGGGCTACAGGAAGCCACCAAGGAAGAGCAGAAGCAGGACCCTCGCTGGCATCTGTGTCCTCCCTCCAGCATGGCCCGCTCCGCCGCTGCTGCCTGCTGCTCCTGCTGCACCCCGAGCTGGGCTCTTCTTCCACCAAGCCTTCCTGTTGACGTCCTGGAAAGGGTCAACCTTCAGGAAACCTCCAGCCATGCCCTCCCCCCCGGACTCCTCTGAGGGGCCACTCTCTTCCCCTAGACCTGGGCCAGGCTCGCCTGGGTCTGCTCCGCCCCAGGGCCTGCGGTGTCTGACTGCCCGACCAGGTGGCGGGTGCACTCTGCAGCTGCACTTCCTCAGCTGCAGCTGCCTGCCTTGCCCTCTGCTCTGGAGCCTTAGTTCTTGGGCGCCTGCTGACTTCATCCTGCACTGGGGCTTGGAGAAAATGGGTCACTAGTCTACTCCTATGGAGGCCACGGGCTGTCAAGCACTGGCAAGGAAATCGGAGGCCAGCACTACTTCCAGCTGACCTGAAACATGCACAGAAGACTCTAAAGTATCAGTGGCTGGACCACAAACCAGAGACCTGGGAAAGGCAGTGGTGGGAGGCAGGTGTGAATCCAACCAG